TGGAGAGAGGGAGGTCTGGGCATCTTTGCTTAGACTGCTGCCCCCGCGACCCGGCCCCGGATAAGCGGAAGAAAATGGATGGATGGATGGATGATACTGTGAAGATGACAATATGGATTTTTAGACTTGTTTTCACTTGAAATTTGATATATTTTCCCAACATAAAACATTTTTGCCATAATGTTCATGCTTTTTCTGGGGTGGCTGTGGCTCAGGAGGTAGAGCTGGTTGTTTCCTAACCGGAGGATTAGCGGTTCGATTCCCGGCTTGTCCAGTCAACATGTCAAAGTGTCCTTGAGCAAGACACTTTGCTCCCGGTGATGTCACCGGTGTGTGAGTGTTTGGGAGTGTGAATGGCCAAATAGTGTGAAAGTGCTTTGAGTGTGCAGTAAATAATAGAAAGGCGCTATACAAATATAAGACCATTTACCATTACTTTGGCATCTATACATGGCTGCAGACTCTGAGAAGATAAACTCCAGGGAAAGTGGTTGTGTATGTATTTTGGGACTTAAGGAAGCAGTTTAATTTCTCTTGAGACCTGCAGGAACATGATGTCCAGTGTTTTTATGCTGCAATCTACAGGATGGACAGGAAGGTTAAGGAACAGAAGCGACATCAGCAGAAACACAGTGGGCCCAAAGCAGAGAAGAAGAAGCTCAAGAAACAGGGAGGCTCAACAGAAGAGGATGAGCGGAAACGCAACCCAAAAGCCTTCGCAGTTCAGTCTGCTGTCCGCATGGCCAGGACCTTCCACAGGTTCATAATGATGTCTTTCTTAGACACACTTCACTACCCTGTAGCATCCAGAGTGTAATGTGAATTTATTAGGTCTGTGTTCACATGGTAGGCCTATAGGGTCACTATCAGTTAAGGACACACGTTTGACATAATGCCATTTACTGATTAATCTAACATAAGAATAGTCAATAATATGAATAATTAAAGAAACAGCATGAAGCTACTCCCTGTTTACATTTTTCTGTAGGGCCCAGGACATAAAGACCAAAAAACATCACATCCCTCTTGTAGACCGGTCTCCCCTGGAACCCCCTCCAGTTGTGGTGGTTGTTGTTGGGCCCCCCAAGGTGGGAAAAAGCACCCTGATTCGCTGCTTAATCAAAAACTTCACCCGCCAGAAGCTGGGTGACATATGTGGCCCTGTGACCATTGTCTCTGGTAAGTTGGCCAGCACTTTCTGTGTACATAGGTTACATGGGATCTGCTTCCATTATGTTGATGCCTCTGCAGTGAGTGCTAATGTTCAAATAATTAGCAGTATTTCAGGTTTATACAGCTTTCCGTTGACATTTGGTACTCTGTGCGTTAATTTAATTTCACCTGCTTTATTTCCATGTGCCCCTTGATCATGTTAGGATGCTGATAGCATGTAGGTTTTCAGAGGTAAAACAGTAGAATATCTTGATTACTTTGTTTTCATAATTGCTGGAAGCCTGGTGCTGACTATTATTAGCTGCCACAGAAATAGAAAATTTGGGGGAAAAGGTTAATGTACATAGCACGTTTGCCAGCATTTGATCATTTCTTTGCTCTTTGTAATCCATTTAATCATCATCATTTAATCAATCATTGTGATACATTATTTATGTTGGATAAATTGCTACTTTTTATACTTTTTAGGAAAGAAGCGTCGCCTCACTTTCATGGAATGTAACAATGACATAAACACAATGATTGACCTTGCAAAAGTAGCTGACCTGGTAAGTTTTTCCATTTCAAGCAAAGAAGCAGATTTGGGTCTGACTTTAGAGATGTGACGCAGTATCATGCTATGCAAAATATTTTTGAGCCTTCTTATATAATAAACTTTATAGCTTTTGTTGTCAGTATTGATAGTTTTCTTCTGTAAGATGTGTTAAAAGTAAAAGAAATGGTGATTTCACTAAGATGCCATCCTCATATAGCCAATGTGCTGCCAACCTTTTGTAAAGAGAATGACTTGAATGTGCTCTTGAGGGATGAATAAATGAAAGTGTATTTATATTCATTGCTTTTTCTCTCTGCAGGTTTTGATGTTGATCGATGCCAGTTTTGGCTTTGAGATGGAGACCTTTGAGTTTCTCAACATCTGTCAGGTACATGGCTTTCCTCGTATCATGGGTGTTCTGACTCACCTGGATTCATTTAAGAACAACAAGGCACTGAGGAAGACAAAGAAAAACCTCAAACATCGCTTCTGGACAGAGGTCTACCAGGTAAAAACAACACACTCTCATTTTTACTGCTGAAAAAATTCCCCTTGTGCTTATATAAAGGATCTTGTATATTTAAACAATTATTTGTATGACAGTGACAGTGTGTATGCATGTTTTGTTTGACCCTGTCAGGGGGCCAAATTGTTCTATTTGTCTGGTATGGTCCACGGTGAATATCAGAATCAGGAAGTGAAGAACCTGGGCCGCTTCATCTCTGTTATGAAGTTTCGTCCTCTGGTGTGGCAGACCTCCCATCCTTATGTGTTGGTTGACCGGTGAGTGCTGACTTGGAAATCTACACACTGTGAACTCTCATGAGTTAATTACTATTGAAATTAAGTATTAGTTGGCTTCAGTAAGGTATAGTGTGATCACATGTAACTGTTCATTTCAAGACTAAGTGTTCTTTGTTACTACGTACTTGTGTACGCATGCGCCGCGCGGAGTTGCAGCAAGTTACAGCAGCTGTGTCCTCATTGTGTTCTTTCCCGTGTTTCTATGAAGTTCTGTTCTTATATGTCTGTTCTTATAGTGTTATGTTGTTTGTTCTCTATTGCTGTAACACATAAAATTCCCCACTGTGGGATCAATAAAGTACCTACTCTATTCTGCTCTCCTCTCCTCTCCTCTCCTCTTCTCAGTTTGTATTTGTCATGAGTGCACATATGTGCTTCTAATTTGTACCCAATTAACTATGTTTTTTTTCAATGCTCCTTCTTGCATTGACACAGTATGGAGGACTTGACTGACCCAGAGAGGGTGAGGACAGACCCCAAGTGTGACCGAACTGTGTCACTCTACGGGTACCTGAGAGGAACATATTTGAAAAGCAAAGGCCATGTCCATATCCCAGGTACATGAAAATAGTGCTAGATACCTTCCCTCATGTATATGTTGGTTTCTTGTGGAAACAATATCTGGAGTTGTTTTGTGCAAGACCATTTTTATTTGAATAGCCCAGTATCACAAATCACAACTTTAGAATCTGTACAACATATAACCCTCTGCCCTTAGACCCTCTAAACAGATACAGAAAAACCCTTTAACAGGCAAAAAATGGAAGAAAACTCAGGAAAAGCAACAGAAGAATGTGCCCTCATCTGGGATGGACAGACTTCATCAGTTCTGACTGACTGGTGTTGAGCCGGAGACACCAGTCAGTCAGAACTGATGAAGCCTCTTGGATGAGAGGTGAAACGTCTTCGAGCTAGAAATCTAGTCCAGTTGATTTTTTCTAAGTTCTTTCAGTTTATTATGACCTGGATGACTGAGAATCTGCACAGACATGCAGTTGATATTGTGTGTACAGAAGAAATCAACATAATAGATGTACAGTAGTTTGTATATTGTAAACACATACGAAGAACATTATATAAAGAAATGTGAAGAACATGATCCAGGAGAACAAACCAACTTCCAGGTGCCTCCAGTAGACCTGAGCCACGCAGTCTCTCCTCCAGACAAAGACCCAGTGTCACTTCATGATCACATGAGAGGCAAAGCCCAAAGCATACCGTTTAATTTAAAATGATTCATCCATTATTTATACCGCTTATCTTGAAGAGGGTTGCAGGGAGCCTGGATCCTATACACCCTGGATAGGTCCCCAGTCTATCACAGTGCTGACATATAGACAAACAACCATGCGCACTCACACTCACTGCTAGGGGAAATTTAGAGTCACCAGTCAACCTAAGCTGCATGTCTTTGGACTGTGTGAGGAAGCCAGAGTACCTGGAGAGAACCCACGCAGGCACAGGGAGAACATGCAAACCCTGCACAGAAAGGCACTGGGGTCGACTGGGGCTTGAACCCGGAACCTTCTTGGTGTGAAGCGACAGCACTGTGCCGCCCAATTTAAATTCAGTTAGGTTCAATTGTTTATAGCACCAAGTGAAAACAAAAATCCTCACTTGTCAATAGTTATTCAGAGACTTTGGATCAAGGCCTGGTTTCTTAAGTAGAGGTTTAACCGTAGCAGTTTTAAAGCAAGTGGGGACAGTGCCAGTGATAAGTCAGTGATAAGTGACAAGTTATGTTGTGGTTCTCTTAGTTTTAAAGATGGAAAATGGCTAGTAGCTCCATCCAGGTAAAAGCATCTCTTGTCATGGCTTGTTTTCTTTTTTTAATTGAAATAAATATTTTCTGCTGTACATCATATTGTTGAAATTGACAGCTCCTGAGTAACACTTGAGGCATTTCTTTTTGCAAAGTATATTTAAAAAAAAAAGTGTGTTATTCACTCTGCAGGTGTAGGAGACTTTCAGGTGGAAAGTGTGAACTTCCTGCCTGACCCATGTCCTCTGCCAGACGCTCAGAAAAAGAGGGCGCTGAATGAGAAAGAGCGTCTGCTTTATGCACCCATGGCCGGGGTTGGCGGGGTTGTGTACGACAAAGATGCTGTGTATATTGACCTTCCTGCCAACCACGTCAATCAGCCGCAGGTGTGTACGTGAGATTGCCATGGGAGTACGTGTTCTAAATCTCAATGATCTGAGTTTTTAAAATGGTTGACTGTTTTTGTGTGGACACCTCTGGTATTGTTTGTGGCATTTTTCACTCATGTCAGATTCGACCATTTAAATTAGATTGCAAGTATGGTACTTTGTGTGAAGTGTATTTTTGATCTGGTACAGGAGGAGGTACGGCCCACCACAGAGCTGGTCCAGTCTCTCATCGACACACATGCCACACTGGATGCAAAGATGGCTGCCAGTAAGGTATCTCTGTTCAGCGGCTCTGCCACCCTGGACCCCACAGACATTGAGCAGCAGAGTGGGTGAGACACCACACGGCTCCATTCTCTCTCTCTCTTCTTTTGCACAGCTACAGAGATAACAGTCATTGTAGGACAGTTTATACTTTCAGGGTCTGCCCATATCAAACCTTTCAAAAACAAAATGGCTTCAGATTATAAATATGGTTTGAGCTTTAGAACTGGCTAAATTAAAGACAGCTGCAATCCATTAATAACTTGATCAGAGAACTTACGGAATGGCAGAAAACACTGTACTCCCAACTAGCTAGCTGATAGTATTCAGTTGGCCTCTCTGACATCATGTATACTGCTATACAAGTTACTGGGAATGGTGAAATTGGCTGATTGTCTGCAGTGAAAGGAAGGAAATGGATTCCCTTTTCAGTTTTTGATGCATCAGAGATGGAAGACTCCCTGTAGGCCTCTTTTTGAGCTAGGGGATCACCCAGGCAACTTTCCTACTCTTCTGCCAGTCTATCACAGGGCTGACACTTAGAAACAAACAACCACACATACTCACTCCTACGGGCAATTTAGAGTCGCGAGTCAACCTAACCTGCATGTCTTTGGACTATGGGAGAAAGCTGGAGTACCTGTCATGCTGTGTTACGGAACAAAAACCAACTTGGAACCCAGAACGTTTTCAGCCCAAGCAGAGTTCGTATGAGAGCACTCGGTTAGCGCATTGTGGCGTGTGAGATAGTGTTAGAGAAATTTAATCAAATGAGGATGAGGCTGTAGACTTTTCAATAAGTTTATTCTTGCAAGGGAGCAATTGTACACACAAGCATTTGGTTATGTGGAGAATCCTCAGTGGGGCAGTCCCGTCTGAGTTCATTTATAGGTGGTTTCACCCACACCCCAGCAACAACTGATGCTTCCTCCAACTACGGTTACAAGTTGACTCAACTCACCATGCTGTCATTTCCCTTCATGAGGTTGATCATGTGTTTTCAGTGTCTGAGGCTGTATCATGTCTGGTTAGCCCTGATAACTATTTGTACAAGAACTGTGTGGGCGTAGATGTGGTGTGACATTCAGTGGTGTGCCAACTCAACCTGCAACAAATCTAGAAATGGGGTGCATCTCATGAAAGTTAACTTAGCAAACAATAACTGTAAAACAATGTATATTCTCTGGTCTTTCTAACAGATAGCAAGCAAAAGAATGGTGCAAAAATATAGAAATATTCTACTAAAATATTCTTGTTCTGTTTGCGTTTTAGAGAGGAGGAGGGCCCTCACGAGAAGCTAGTATGGGATCCCACCACCCAGAGAGAGAGGAGGATGGTGGTCTTCACTGAGGAGGAGGAAGACGGTGATGTCAGTAGTTCCAGTGACAGTGAGGATAGTGACCAGGAAGAGCAGGAACAAGAAGAAGACAGTGATGAGGATAACTTTGCCACATTTTTCAAAGAGGCAAGAGCCAAATCTGAAAAAACAGAAGAGAATTTAACATCCAGTGCTCCACCAGTAAAGAAACAGAAACTTGAGATTAGGAAAGGAGAGAAGGAAACTGTTGGAGAAGTGCTGGTGTTTGCTGACAGTGAAGATGACTTGGAGATGAGTGAGGAAGAGACTGAAGAAGAAGGGGAGGCTGGGAGAGCGGGAGATTCTGGACACTGTTCTGAAGAGGAGGTGGCAGAGAATGATGATGAGCAGTTTGAAGATGAATCAGTGGGAGAGGAGTATGGTGCAGCTGAAACTGTAGTGAAGTGTGAGGAGGGGGAACAAGGTAAATACTGTGTTGCATCTGTAATCTTGAGGTTTTTTCCTTTCAAACTTAATTTAGTTCTGTTTGAGGATGAAGATGCACTGAAGCGCTTTTTATCTCTTTATCCACTTGTGATACCTGGCCAATATGTAAGAAGCAAAAAATAGGACTTGGGCTCCGTTCACATTAGAAGTCTTAATGAATTTTTTTTTTTCCAGATCCGATCTTTATGTTTTGATGGTTCACATTGATGTATACGACTTTGTCTGTGAACATTGTTGAGTTCCTATGCTGCCATGCATGCACAGGTTTAACTGAAATGTGAGCCGCTTGCATAGAGCAGTAATGCCATTTACGTAACGGTTGATGAATTAAATAACTTCTTATGATATATTTCTTCTTGTTTGGCTTGAACAGAAAACACTGACATTGAATGATCTTAACAGTCAATGTGCACATGTACCGAGGAGTGAGATTTTAAACACACACACATAAACATAGTCAGAGTTTGGATGCAACTTGGAAGTGACCCAGATTTGGGCCTGTATTTATGAAGTGTCTCAGAGTAGAAATCACTGGTAACTAGGGGTGTGATGAGATCTGAAGATTTTAAAATGTGATGTTATTTCTCATCGAAGCAAAAGCTGTCTTATGACATCAGTACTTAACAGAAGCAGAGCAGCAGCCAGTATGACGGAGTGTAGAGGTAAAGTGACGGTACAACTCCCTGCTGTGTTTTAACGCACGGGGCTGCGTTGGTAATGGGGTGAAGGGTTGTAGGGGGAGTGTTGTAGGCTTGAATGATACAGCTGCCTTGTGACAAGTCAGTGTGAGTGGCTTCATTCATGTTTTCAGCCCGTGAGTTTCTATTATATTTTGGTTAGACATGCTGCTAACGTAGCCTACTCTACTTTAGCACCAATTCCACCACCAGTGTCTCTGCACTTAATTAAAAACCAATGTCTAACATCCAATACTAATGAAAACAAATGGCAGGTTCCATTTGAAGCTCCTGCACAGTTCTAAGGTCTGAAGATCCTCATGGGAAATCATACAGGAGAGAAGCCAGTCAGCTGAGTTTGTGGCGAAACCTTTTACAGTGCTTGCACAGTGTTGTCTTCTACCGCATATGATAATTCACACTCAAAGTATAACTGAAGTGACAGTCATTCCAAGGTAATTAGTTTAATCATTTCAAAAAGCACCTGCAGTGTTCTGCATTTTGTGACTTTCAGATGTTTTATCTTTGAAGATTTCTTAAAATTAATGGTAAAATATCATCTCGTCTTGTTCTCATGAACCCAATATTGTATATCGACTTGTCTCATGAGCTAACTGTATCATCACACCCCTACTCCTAACTGGCCAAAAATTCTCAGAATGTATATCAGTAGCTTTAAATAAAGCTCATATATCAGCTGCATCAGCAGGTTTGTTGGAGCTAGAAAAACCTTGTATAATTGTTGAGCAGTCTGATGTGAGAAAATGCAGTTTGATTTAGGATGAGCCGTGAATGTTGAATGTTGCCTGGCAGTCAAAGTGACTATCAGCCAAGAAAGTATTTGCATGAGTAGTTTTTATTTTCATCTAGTTTTAACCCTGATTGAGAGCTGTATGGTGGTACAGAAGGTTAATTCTCCTGTTTCCATCCTTAGGGGCTCTGAGGTGGAAGGAGGGTCTCAAACAAAAAGCATCAGAAGCATTTCTACGGCAACAAGAAGCTGCCCCCAATCTGAGAAAACTGGTTTACAGTTCAGGTAATTTACAGCCCTTACTACAGTTTTACAGGATATAGGGTATTATTCCAGAGCTACAACTATACAGTGGCAAGAAAAAGTATGTGAACCTTTTGGAATTTCTTGGTTTTCTGCATTAATTTGTCATAAAATGTGATCTGATCTTCATCTAAGTCAAGAGTACTGACAAATATAATGTGCCTAAAATCATAACACAAAAAAAA